TAAAGTTTGACTCTAAAACATTGCACTTTTACAGTGCCAAGTATGCACTTTCATTCTGCAGGGAAATCCTTGTAACAATAGAGTTAGGAATGAAAAATGTATTCTGCATATGTGATTTCTAATTTTAACAGCTCTATAAATATTTTCTATAAAACATAACTACCTGAAAATGTCATTCAAAGTGCTATTTCCATGAACCAGTTTGTCCACCTGATTGAATTAAAATATTTCTGTTTTATTCAAGCTTGTATTGAAATGGCTTTGTTTTTAGTTATACCTGGAAGCAGTATTAAGGAATTTTTTCAGCAAGCATTGATCATTCAAATGAGATCACAGAACCTCAGCAAAATAGGGGTGTTTATTCATATTCCTATCTGTAGATCAGAAGATCAGTGTGTTTTGTGAAGAAGCAGTTACCAAATTCATTTGGATGAATACAACACGAAAGTGCCAGTTCAATCTATGCTGTTGCATTGCGCAGGCTTATGATTAAAAAAAAAAAAAAAAAAAAAAAAAAAAAAAAAAAAAAAAAAAAAAAAAAAAAAAAAAAAAAAAAAAAGGTCCACATAACTGCAAATGCTAGCCACTGTGTTAAATAAATGTGAAACATTAAAAGTGTCTAGCTGGCACCACTCCAAGGTACTGCTTGACAGCAACTGAGCAATTAGTTAACAACTGATGTGAACGGAGAATTGTCTCACAGACAACTTGTAGCTGTACGTGTTATGGTATGGTATGAAATATGGTGATTTATGTGGTTGTTTCACAATGATCAAGTTGTTGAGTCAGTAGTTCTGTTCTTTTTACTAAGTCTTGCAAATTCAACACGGAGTAAGAAAGTCAAACAAGAGTATTTTTCTTTTTCAGACACCATCACTCATAGAAAAATTATGTGGATCAAATTATACCATCACCAATACCTCAGAAACCTAATGCTCTTCAGGTGCTGATGTCTGGCTGACATTATCTCTGTTGCTGGCTGTGGGCTTGCATAAGTGTTACTGTGCAGGATTTGATAAGCAGTGCTCTCTATAGTACACTAAAAATGAGAGCTCCTCACTCTGCTGTTTCTGTGAGGGGTTAGAAGAAAGTAGAAAGCAGTGGAAGTTTACTGGAGTCATGCAATTAAGCAGAGGCAATCAAAGGCATAGTGGGAGTGGATTTGGTGAGCAGGGACATGCTGTTCTTCCACAGCTGCTCTTCACAAGGGCAAACAAGGAAGCTGTGGGAACAAGTGTTGGGAGACAGCAGTTAATACCTGTTGTGCCTTTGCTGTTTACCCTGGAAAACTTCTGGAGTAAAGAGGTTTCTTCTAAAACGTATTTTGGGGTTTAATTTAGCTATTCAGAAAGGAGATATTTGTTATTCCGTAGGATGAGTCTTGAGCCTGCAAAATTTCCTAGTAATTGCACAGCTGGGAATCACTCTATCTTCTGATAGAATGAGTGACAACTGAATTTAATATCAGTCTGAAACATTCTACCAGGCTTATACATAAAATGTTTGCCTCTAACATTAAAATTTTATCTATATTAGTAACAATGTGATACAATATAGGAAGTTTGTTCTAACGTGATTTCTGCTGTTTAGTAGTTTCTTTGTTATTTTCGTGATGCCTAAGGCTCCCATAGTCTTAGAATTGGAGCAGAAGTACAGCCTATAGGAATGTTAAACTTTGCTAAATTATATTCTTGCAGCAGATAAGGTTTCCACAAAAGTGTGCCATTAGTTTGATTAAATACACTTTATGGGATTGGATTATTTTAAATTAATATATTTTAATGTACAGTTTCTCAACTGAGCTTCTCTCAGCTTTTTCTAATTCTTTGAGTTGTGACTTTTTCCTTACTTGCTTTTGAAAGTTTTCTGATCTTGAATATCTTTGGAACTCTAATGTAGTAAATATTTTGTGTTGCTGATTACCAAAATTGTATGTATCTTCTTCTCAGTTCTTATAAGTTCCATATTATTTTTTATTTGATACTTCAAACATATGTAAAATGAAGTTTTCTATCCCCCACGTAAGAAAGTCATTACTTGAATAGCACATACACAGCAAATAAGCAAATCTTGAGCACTGCTACTCTATCATCAAAAACCTTTGAACAGGAGGAGAGACAATAATCATTGCTGTCAATCAGTGATCATAATTCTACAATTTTTAATCACAAACCTGAGTATGTCCCAGGGTGTCATTTTTTTAACTGTTAAGTTTTTTGATTGTAATTTTGAAGTAATATTTAAAATATTCTTTCACATTCCAAATACTGTGAATGAGTGTTAACCCACATCTGTAATATACATTTCCCATAACTAAATTATTGGCTGCCTCCACAGAGTGATTGCTTCCCTGTAGAATTACCTCTTACTGCTTTGATAATTGAAGCCTTGCATAACAGTCCCCTTGAGGGCAGAATCCCTGCGGGTTTTCATAAGGAATTTTACCTGAGTTTAGTCCAGAATGTAAGGGCAAAGATACAGTATATTGTTTCTTAAAGTGCTCCCTTTTTCAGTTCTTAAGTTATCAGATCTACTTTGATGTGGTAAAGAGCTCAGTGGCATATTAAGGGAGAAATGTGTCCTTCTGTGGTTCTGCACATGGGTTC